ACACACATGGTTGAGGGAATGAGTGATGCCAATGACATCCTGAGGGGTATGGAACCTCCTCACCAGTTCAAGCACTGTGGATAAGAGCTGTAGCTCTAAGTGCCTGCTAAAGCTTCTTTTCCCACTAGGGCAACAGTTAAATGGAAAGTTAGAAAAGAGGTGTTAATTCTTCAATAGGCATAGGCCTACTGAGATCAGTCACTTGTAGGATACAAGTCAGTATCTAATACTATATTTTCTCCAGCACAAACTAGAGATGAAAACACTCTTATCAAATAGAATGTGACCCAGGATGAAAGACACCGAATCCTGATATGAATGGTGAGTTATTTTACAGGAGTGAGACACATGTGGATAGAGTTGACTTTATGTTAACATTGATATCACCAAAAAGGTTTCCATAAGCACACTAAACTTCAGAAACCCAAGGCTCTAGGGATTTTGGAACGGTCAATAGATCTGTTTCCTTGATCACGGACCAGGATTGTGTTTCCCGGTCCCTTGATGTTCCTAAGTGGAGAGCAGCCAGGACAAGATGCATAAATTCATCTTTTGTTTGGGGGAGAAAGACATTCAATAGTTTAGAGAAGTCTCAATACTCTGATGAAAATCATTCCACAGAATTATACATAGGGAAGATACCTGCTGTGACCCCCTTGTGAAAGCAAAACCCAATGATCCAGCTACTTGAAATAGTAATAGACAAAGGCATTTTAAATAAATGCTTTCAAGACCCTGGCTATATAAATTTGACTATAATGCAAGAATTTACTAATTTGGATCTTCAACAAACATTCATGTTCCAGGAGCTTGGTACATGAGACGCCTTTTGTCATATAAACAGTGTCATAAATGATACTTATGTCAGGAAACAAAAATATATCTAATCAGTTATATATAGAGAATCATGGATTTCTGGAGCCAGAAGGGACCTTGTGGACCACTGCTCTAAGCCTGGAAAGATTAGGGGGCTTGTAGGAGATCCAGCCCCTGAATGTAGTCTCTAAACTTAGGCCAGGAGTTCCAGGCCATCCTTTTGCTCCTTCTTTCAGGAATGCTGCCCTTGCATACCTCGAGGCAGACACTTCTAAGAACTGCTTTGGCCAGGACTTTCTCCCAGACCCATTGGCATGGACATCTGCCCAACAGTAGAGGAGGAGTATGTGCTCACTTCTGGGCTCTAAGGACCACATGGTTTAAAGGATTGACCCCTGAGGTTTAATGGAATAAGATGAGTTAAAGAAGAAAATGACTCTTTGGGAATCCAGTTCCCAAGATGTTTCTGGGCTTGCCCCCCAAGTTCTACAACCTTGTTCTTCAACTGGTTAAAATTCAGATGGCAGGGACCATCCTCCTGACTCTCAGAGAAAGTGAGTCACCTATAGGACAAGTTTGCCTATAGCAAAGGGCTGACTCCAGTCAAGATAAAGCATGTTTATAAAATGGTTCTGCTGCTGGACAGGATTCTGAAGCACCAATTCCTACACAGGTTGCCATACTAAGGACACTAAGCAGCTACTTATGTCATGTGACTATGGGAACATGTGCATTCCTCTGCTTTGGCTCCCAGACAGCAGGGCCAGTGGTGGAGGCAGGGGGACAGTGATGGTCGAGCAAAGCTCTCTCTGTGTAAGGCAAGGCTCCTCTCAGTAAGGCAAAGGTAATTAGTAGCCAATTGGGCATCTGGATCTCCTTGCTGCCTACCCAATACTGAAATACTTTGAACTCAGGACTCTACATTTCTCCTGTTTGGTTACTTACTTAGTCTGGTTTATCCCAGAAGCAGACTCAAGATAGGGATTCAGTTCATTTGGGAGGTGACAGGAAATAGTGGTGGAGGAGGGGGAATAGGGGCAGGGGAGGGAAGGGAGTCAAGGAGGACTGTTCATCACAGTGGGTGCCTAGAGCTCAGTTTGCCGGGGAACTCGGGGAAGTCAGTGTGTAACTCTGCTCCAGAGTCACCATGGCAATGGAGGCCAAATAGCTGGGGTTTTTATTTTCTTCTCATCAGTCACTGGTTAGGGCCGCTCCCAGGCAATTAGGGCTGCTCCCAGGCAATGTTCTCTTTCTCACTTCCAGCCTGCCTTCTGTACAAAAAGAGGAGCTCCTGCTGAATCAGGGGCCTTCAGGCAGTTGTACTTTGAGTCAGTGGGCATTGCCATGGTAAAGAGATTAGGGGAACACAGACAACCTCTGAAATAGTTACATGAGCCCAGTTCCACTCCCAAACCATGCTGTGCGTGAGCAAGCGTTGTATGTGCACATGTGTGCTGTACCAACTAACTGTGGTTGGATCACAGGGGCAGTCACAGTTATTCTGATTCTGAAGACGGGAGCGTGGAGCATTCTCATGCAATGTCTTCCCACTTATATTCCACATAGCACGACAAAACCCCAGATGTGGTTACAGACCTATGCTTGACATGCCAGGTGTTGACCTGAAATAGGTACTAAGCTGTTCCTTCAGCACCAGCAGACGGATGTTAACTCACAGCAGTGAAGTTTATTTTCCTTAAGGTCATTATAGGGGGTATGGTATTTACCAAGTTCCTGCTGTGTGCTAAACCGTATGCTATAAAATTTAACCTCACAACTCTATCAGGGGGTAGGATTATCCTCATTTTACAGATGAGGTCAAGATTTGTTTATCCAATCAACAGTGAGGCCCCGGGCTGGGTCCCAGAGATCAAGTGAAAAACATGACAGTGTGGGCCTGTTGCAGTGCTGGGAGCCGTGTCAGGGGCTACAGGGCAGTTCAGGCTGCTGAGTGGAGGAAGGACTGGAGCAGCCATGCAGGGCCTGGAGGGACAGGGAAAGTAGCTGGGGGACAGGGTACAGTGACAGGCAAGAAATGACCCTGGCTTGTTCTGAGCACTGGCAGTGAGTTAGCACACTAGCCAAAGTTCTCAGAGTCTGTAAATATTGTACGGCTACGTTTCAAATTCAGTTTAATCTTGAAGCCTATCTCTGTATCCTTCTGTTTCTACATAATATTGAAGATATGAGCCTTATTTCTGTTTTCCTGTCCCAGAGTAACACATGCCTGATGCGGAAAATATATGTTAATTATTTTTTCAGTTTGCTATCTGGATTTTTACATACAATAAATGATATCTGATTCATGGTAGGCTGGGGAAAGACATTTTGAGAAACTGACACACTTGGAAGCTTGAATAAAAGCAACTCTCCTAGTTTTTTGCTTAGCTTGAGGGCACAGGGCACGATGGGGGGCTTGCCTTAGATTTTCTCCCACTGGCTCTTCCTTTCTCTGTTAACATTCTGTCCAAGAGAGCACAGTGCAGATTGGTGGCTGTGCCTCCAGAAGGTGAGGCCTGCAGGCTGACAAGGGGTGGGAGTACATGACTCATCATGGCCTGGAATGCTGCTGGAACAGCAGGAGCTGTTGGGCCTTGTGACCATCAGGCAGCAGAGCCAGTAGGATGCAGAACCATTGTACGAAATAATGTGATATTCTTCAGTTACCATCTGGCTCTTAGTTCTGGGAGACAAAAGTGACTGTAATGGGGTATTGGTTCAAGTAACAGAGAGGAGCAGAGCCCATTACCATTGAAAAAGTAATGGGTTGGAGCCCAAATCCCAGGGAGGGGCTGCCTGTGAAGGTCAAGCTCCATGCTCTAGTCCACAGACGTGCCAGGGGACAAGTGTGTGCACTGTCTACAGGCAAAGGACTTGACAGATTGAGAGGTATGAGACCTCAGTGGTTATGGAGGGTGGGATGGGAATGAGTGAAAGGCAGTCTGAGCTGTTGGGAGGGCTCAGGGGCTTGGCCATGGAAGTTGGCTTCCACTTCCCTCTGGGCCTGCCTTTGACTATCTGCAGTCATTGCTGGCTTGGCCTTGGCTCTTCCCATGTAGCATCCTGGCTTGGCTGTTGAGCAGAAGAAGGGGCTCATTCTCCCATTCATGTGGGCTACTGGTACCTTGTTAGCTTATATAATGTACTCTCAGAATAGGGAAAAAAGTGACCACAAGTGCAAAGAAGTCTAGATGTTTCCAGGCAAGATCTTATCTGAGTTACAGAAGAGGCAGCTCATCCTAAGAGAATGAGCCTGTGATTTGGGGCCAAGCAGATTTGTGATACTAGCCATGGGCCTGCGGTAAGTACCTTTCAGACAAGCCTCTGCACATACTTCCAGGGTTTTTTTTATGAAACGAATTAACTAACAGAAGCAAAGCACCGGGTACATTGGAGACACTCAACAAACATTAACTTCTTTCTCTTCCATTGGAAGCAACAGGGATATCCAGACTCTAAAGTGGCCAAGTCTAGCATGGATGTGCTTTGGGAAGCTGTGGAAGGATCAACAGGGGGTAGAGCACTGCCTGGGAACCTCCTTTCTGCCAGGGGCTCTTCCTTCTGTGATTCCTTAGCAGTGTCCCTGAGTACTTGAGGGGGGGTTAGTTTGGGACTGTAGATCAGATGGTGGGGGTTTTGGGGGCTTTTACCTGTTTAAGACACCAGGATTCCACATAAGGTTTGTCGGGAAAATGATTTTGAGGCTAAGACAAACTCAAACCTGTAGAGTGCAGGGATAAACCATGCAGAAGGCCATGTTTAGCCCAAAGGCCATGGTCTGAAGCTTCTCGGTTGACTAAAAGAGGGATGGCTAGGTGCTCTCCACACACAGGCAAAGTTCCTCTGGAGAGGGCAGGGGCAGGAAGCAACACAGCTCTTTACCAATGAGGGAGACTGTGAGCATTAATTACAGACTTGGAAGTAAAGGGCTGTCTTGTGAAGCAGAAGGAGAGGACAGGTCTCAGGAGGCCTGGGACCCACAGGGCCCTATTCCCCACTGAACCACTCAGTCCTAATCAACAGGGGTTTCTGGGGGCCCTCCTGTGTGCACGGGATGGGCATTTGAGAGATAGCTGCTCCCCTCCCCCCACCCCCTGGACCACACACTCTGTGCAAATATAGAAGTTCCTCTGCACACTGGCTGCACAAACCGAGCTGCCTGCAGGTGACTTCCTGGCGCTTACCTTCTTCAGCTCTTCCTGAACGCCCTGGCTGTTGTCTTCAGAGGACAGACTTTCCTTGTGGTTCTCAGACTCCGTCTTGGGCTCTGACTCCTGATCTTCTCCTGAAGAAGTTTCCTTCTCGCTCATTTTCATTGCTAACTCGTACAACCTGTTTCTCAGTTTCTCTTCTGTGGCTGTCACACCACTCCGAGGGTGCTGAGCCTCGCTGCCGATGTCCGTCTCTGACAAATCACCCGACACCTAAATGCAAGTGAGCATTATGAGCCAAGGACTCCTCTGCTCCAGTCATATTGCTTGTTTCCCAATCCTCCCCCACCCCCCCCCACGGTAAGGATAGTCCAGGAAAGTCAAGCTCTTACCCGATCTGCTTTCTCTACAGGTGGGCTTTTACTTTTCACTTTTGCTTTCTCAATTACATGCACCTTAACACTTTGTTGAAGGGCTCAGGCAGGTGAGCATCTGTACTCAGAAACATGTTTGAATTCATTCAGCATTTTTCACTCACAAGATGCTTATTGAGTGCCCACCATGGGGAGCACTGCGCCGATGGTACAAGGCTAAACACGCCTGCTTGACAGCCCCCTGGTGGAGGCAACATGCTAAACCTTAGGTGGTAAATGCAGAGAAGGCGTGGGGAAGGACGCTCTGACAGCCCGCCTCAGGGGCACCTAATGGCAGGGTTGGAAGTCAAGGAGAGCTTTCCAGTGGAAGTGATATTCAAAGTGGAAGTGGTGGGACGCCTGGGTGCCTCAGCAACTGAACGTCTGCCCTCGGCCCAGGGTGAGATCCTGGGGTCCTGGGATCCAGTTCCACATTGGGTTCCTGGCAGGGAGCCTGCTTCTCCCTCTGCCTATGTCTCTGCCTCTCTCTCTGTGTCTCTCATGAATAAATAAATAAAATCTTAAAACAAAAACAAAAACAAAGAAAATACACAAAAAATTCCAAAGTGGAAGTGGTGATACAAAGCGTAGCAGTTACCCAGCCAAAAGGGAGAGGGAGGGAAGAACAGTATTCTAGGCTAAGGGCAAAGATTTTGAGATGGTGCCAGGTTCTTGCACTTAGGTAAGCAATACTGTGTGACCTTCCCTTGACAATTACAGTCGCAGCTTAATAATTATACCTTTGGCTCCTACAATCCATTTGGTGAATACCTCCTAAGTTCCTTATAGGAATAGATCCTTGACCAGGCCTGGGGAACTTCAGGAAGACAGGGCAATTGTGACTCTCAGTCTGTCCTTGGCCTTACGTTGGATAGACGTGTATGAAATTTTAACAAGATACCCTTCAGTATATGATCAGGGTCCATTACACCCAACTTTAGTTTTTGAGTTTCCTCTTTGAGTTGCTTTATCTATTTATAAGGCTCAATATTTCATTGCTTTCATTTCTTCTTGAGGCGTTCCCAAAGAACACAGAGCAAATTTACTTATTTTTTTTAAATAAAATAAAACTCATTCTATTTGGTCATCACTATGTGGGCTCATTGGACCCTTTCATAAATCTGTGATACATGATGGCATCTTTGTGATCTTATTTTTCTTATCTTTTTAAATATTTTGCTCTTTCATTGTCCTGGGAATTATCTTTCATTATTACTCATCAATTATTCCCAATTATGCTAAAAGAAGCCAAAATAATAAAAGGGAAGAATGGATTTGCCTGGAGGGATGATTCAGTAACACAATAAATCATCATCTATTTTGAGTCTGCTTTTAGCTCATTGCATACAGTTGAGAATTCAAAATTTTTCATATTTGCAAAGAGAAGAAAAGTGATGGAGAAAAACATTTCACAATTATTAGATGACTCAGAAGATGAATTCAAAAAGAAGGAGAGCAACTCTTTAGACTCTAACAATGACAGTAAGTTGATTGTAAAATTAAAGTATCAGACTAAGAATCTTCAGATGGTAGTGTCTGAAAGTAAATTTTCCCAAACTCAAGAATTGATGCATAAACAATGTATTTATAAGGACAAAAAGAAATACGGTATTTTCACTCAGTCATTCAACAGGAAGGGCTTCATCATATAATATTTTGCAGCAAGAATCTAGACCATTTGTTGTGCTAAAAAATGTGCACATTCTTTATGATGTTTGTACACCAAATTTACTTGACACCATTGTGGCTGGACAAATGCTGAAAGCAGCTGTCTATAGCAGGTGAGTAGAAGGAAACAGATGACATAGAAGTGAAAAAGAAGAGCCCCTGGGTTGATTAAAAAAAGAAAGTCCACTGGAAATGATGGTTTTTCTGGTCCTGAGCAAGAATCAGTGATGAGGGTCTCAAGAGAGGTGACCAGTGCTCCAAGTGTGCTTAAGAAGGAGGATTCTTTTGTCTTTTGGCATAGGGAAGCTCAATGGGAAGAATGGCCTCTGAACAGGTTCTTGAAAGATGAGGAAAATTTTAATATGTAGACATGGGATCAGGCATTTTTGATGAGGAAGCAGCAGGACCAGTAAGACCCCAGGTGCATGAGACTGCTTGGTGTAGCTAGAGGAATCAGACTCAGAAATGAGAGAGGGAGGCTTTGGGAGGAAGGAGAAAATGGGCCTGGGTCAGACTGCAGAAGGTTCAGGAGGAGCCTAAGGAGCTGAGCTTGTCTAACAGATAGTTTCACTGTTGCCATGTGGCGTGTGCCAAACTAGCTCAGAAGTCAGCAACTGGCCACAAATCCACACTCAGTAACCTTCTCTTATCAGCCCACTCAACAGATTTAACACACTGAAGTATCAATTAATCTTAACTCTCGATTTGGTTTTCTTTAGCTTTGGCCTATTTCTTTATCTCAAAAGAACCTTTGAAGACTTGGATGGATGGTGATTCAGTCCACATTCAGCGAACTTATACTGAGTGCCTACTATGTGCTGGGCTTGTGCTGGCCACTGGAGCTCACAGGTGGGAGGGACAACCCTCCTGCTCTGGCAGCATTCACCATGTGGTAGAGAGACATCATCCTGACATACTATGTACGACACAGACACATGAGCTCTTGATGAGACTCAGGGAGGAATCCTCACTTAGCTGATCGATGGATGTTGTTGGGAGAGAAAGAAGAATAGGTGACAGCTGAATAGAATCTTAAAAAATGAAGTTCTAGAGGTTATCAGGATATATATCAAGTTTTATCTGAGTGTTGAGAATTGTGTTAATGCTAAATGATGGCCCTGGAGTTCAATAAGCACTGTAGCCATACACATGGGGATCTGACACACGGAGATGCGATACTGGATTTTGCTTGTTCCTCAGTTAGGATCCAGGGAGAAGGAGCCTACAGGCTGCCTGTGGTCTCCGAACCTTTGGCTCCTAATAATTTGGGTCAGCTATATCAGAGTTGGATCAGAACCTGAAGAGTAGTTTCAGAGGGAGGCCTGAAGGGGCTCCAGGTTCATATAGGGTGCAGAGAGCATTCAGAAGTGGGCTCAAAGAAGGTCATTGTTGGTTCTGGAAGGTGAGCTTACCAGTGGCTCCTCTGGTGGGAAGGAAGGAACTGCCTTGGGGCTGGAGAGCCAAGTCCCTGGGGGTGATTAGCATGACAGCCAGGGTGGGGCCTGAGGGAGAGGTCCTGGGTTCTGACCACACAAAGGAAATGACCACAGTTTCTCAGGCCTTAGGATACCAGCAGGGTGGGAATGACTTCGTGAACAGGGACCCCATCACTGAGGACACCTGTAAGGACGCAGAGGACACTGGTCAGCAATCAAATGCCCTGCAGCTACCAAGATACCAGAGGCTTACCTTCAGGATCCCCAAGATGGCAAAAGTGGAGAGACTGGAGGGGCTGGAGGGCTGATTATTTATCCAGAAGAGGAAAGATAGTTTTAAAGAGATGAAGTTGAAATCACAGAAGACTAAGTGTTCCTGGATTGGTTAGTTTACACTGTTGGCTCTATAGAGTGGGAGGTGGAGGAGGAAGGTTATAGACGTTACAGAAGGACAAAACGTCACCTTTTCCTTGCATGCCATCAATGCAGCATGTGGAACTCAGAGACCTGGCTAAATAGGAAAGCATATTTTAAACACCTAGGGATGGAATACTCATTAAGATAAGGTAGTACAGCTTCTTAAACAAGAGTCTGCTAATGTATTCTCAGTGGTCTGCAAGTTCTTATTTATAATAATTTTTAAGTTTTGGTTTTCATTTCACTGATTAATTAAAAAAGAAGGCACCTTCTGAAATACCAGGGGACTGAGTATTGCCAACTTGATCTCCACGGATCTTATGGTTTTTTTTTTTTTTGGATCTTATGTTTTGAACCAGATATCTTCTGAACAATTCCTGAGGAATCTGACTTCTCAAGTTTGAGAAATACAGAGACAGACATAAATGGAGGTGATGGGGAGGTGAGAGTGGGGGTCAGGACTGGACAGTTCTCATGGCCGAGCACATTAGTCGGTGAGTACTGTCCTGGGCACAGGACACTCGGGATCTCATTCAAGTGGCCACCTAGTTTGCTCTGTATCCACAAGGGGGCTGGGGTAGAGTAGGCTGTCTAAGGTCATGTGACCAATGTGGGGCTGAGCTGAAGACAGCTTGACCCCGAAGGCCAAGCTCTTTCCATGCTTCCAAGACAAGGCCAGATGCTCCAGATTAAACTATTCTCATTACAAGAGGAAGATGGCAAAACCACAGAGTAGGGACAGAACCCAACAGGCAAAGGATTTAATCTCTTCTTTCAAATGCAAGATTAAATGAGTGAGAGGATACTTTTTGTAGAAGCTTTCTGGAGATGGATACCTTCAGATTTCCTTAGAGGACTGACTGTCTTTACCTTCATTCACCCTTGTGATCTGTCTTTATGCACCCTGAAATCCTGCCTACTTTAATTTAAAGCAATTTTTCTCCTATTACGCCTCCCCATCACCCTTATCAAAATTCTCCACATGTTTGAAGGGAGCCATGTCAACGTCTTCTAGACTGAGCAACCCCAGTCCTAGAAACTCTTTTTCACAAAGCCTGTCTGTCTTTCATCTACCAGGTCACTTGAGGGAGCAGTGGGAGGCTCAGTATTTTCTCCACCTTTAAAAAAAAAAAAAGAAAAGCCAAGCTGAAGGATGACTTTCAAATGTTCCATAACAACCTTCGTTGAATATATCCCAGTGTCCTGGCGGCTCTCCCTGTTCTTGTTGATGAAAAATACCAAACCTGACCTAAAAAGCAGGTTCTGCAGCTTGCTTTTAGATATTTTGGTGAACTTCAGAGAAGAGCCCTGACTTACAGGTTACCCAGTCCTGAGTTTG